AGGAGAAACCGCTTGTGTCCGAAAACTTTGGATAAACTGTTATTTCTCAGTAAAAACTCAAACAGTTACACAAGCGCACCCACTGCCCTGTTCTTCAAGCACAGCCCCTTTACCCACATACCCATGAACCTCTTTACCAATGAACCCCCAAACAAACTTTGTCGAAGTCCATACTATAATCTGTATTTACACCAGTCCCATGTGAAAATGACATCTATCTGAATTTGTAGACCACATCTCATGAATGTAGCAGCAACATTTAAATGTTTCATAACACAAAATATAAGTAAGGAGCATATAGGATTGCACTCAGACGTGCACATAAACATGGTCTTCAACATGTGTCCATGTTTATTTTATATTTTACTATGTCAGCTTGAAACCATCCAACCATGTAGTGTAGTGGAACAGGAATGTGCATGGAGAATCAAATCAATCCATGAACCAGTCTTGACTGCACTTCAATTTCTTGACCACTAGATGTCCTACTCGAGTACTGTGTCATTGAAGCCTTGAGTAATGAACCATTTGTGTGAACACTGTGCTGAAGCTTCAACAAAGCCTCATCGGCCATCACTACCCGCAGGAGGAGAGAGAAAAGAGAGGCAGGCCGCGCCGAGCGGACCTGGCAGTACTGTAGCTATATTATCACCAACACCAATAAAGCTTCTGTGTGAGTGTAGGAGTGATGGCAAGTCTACAGTCGATGTGTACGTTGTATTTTTCAAAATGATCTATAAACACAGTAAATGCATAATTTGCAAGTATTGTATAATAAGAGTGATCTCGCTGAAGAATTGTGTACATTTATAAAATGCAACAAAGTTTAGGTCAATTTTGTGCCAAATACCTTTCCTCTTTATAAAATGGGATACTTTTAATTTAAATGCCGTCTTGTCTATTAAGAAATTCTCCAGTGTATTCTTTTGTTAAGTCTGAGTATTAAGGTCATTTACTTAAGTAAGAGCAGTTATAACACAGTGTCACAATACTCCACTACAAGTAAAGTGAAACTGAAGTATGCAGAAAAATATCCAGTGTCAGCGTTATATTATTATGGAACTTTAAAAATAATTACTTGTGCACTAGTGTTTGTAGTTTTGGCGCAGGGTAGAAGATGTGCTCACTTTGGGTATTTTAGTCTATAACAGTGTGTCATATTTGTAAATGCTGATCATATGATTTGAATGTAAAATCATCTTCAAAGCAGTAAGTACATGTGCAAACAGAATAAGTCATGTTTGTGTTCAAACCTGCTACTGGACATAAACGTGGAGCTGAAAAAAAAAACTGATTTTTGTGCTTTGGTTTTCTACATGGGGTCAAAATCAATGTCACTTTATATGTATTTTGCTGTGATCTTTACTGTTACAGTTGTAATGCATTACATGATATTTGCACTAAAACATCTGAGTTTCACCTTGATCAAGAATATCAGATGGTTTTTTTACCTGCCCGCAGTGATGTCAAGCTTCTGATCTGATAAACTGGAAAAGCTTAGAAAAAAAATCAACTGGACTTAGATTAGTTGATTTTTTTCTAAGCTTTTTCAGTTTACTATGACCTGGATGACTGAGAATCTGCACAGACATGTTGCTACTCATTTTGGGAATGACACCCTTCGACTGGTACGTGAGTCTGATCTGATACTCATACATTATATCCCTGAACACACTAAATATAACTCAGTGTTGTTTATCTGTAGGAACAGTAACCTGGACGTTTATTTTTTATAAAATAAAAACTCTCTAGAGGACACTACCTTCATTTGACCACATAAGGTCACTGTTCTAGTGTTGGATCCTGCATGAAGCAGTGAGATAAACCAACTAAGTGATGAAATCCTGACGGCCTGTAGGAGTTTGTACACCGTTTCTGTTCCTGGTTAAAATACTGAGAGTTGTGAAAAATGCTTCCTCATGCAGCCATTCCTCTCGTCTTTCTTTGGTAAGTTTATTTTAATTAATAGACTGTTAAATGCACTTCACTACATAGATGTTTCAGAGATTTTAATGGGATGCCGATTAGTGTGGATGTCGGCGTGTCCTGTCCAGAAGCCTGAGGACTAGACTAAATACTGTAGGTCCACCTTACAGTTCGTTACTGAGCCGGTGGCCTTGGTTTTACAGCGGTGATGTAGCAGAAACCGTGTGTCTTCTGGTCAGAGCTGGTGTTGGCCTTGGTCAGACTATGTTCCTCCTAATTTTCAGGCGTGTTACCAGGCTTCGACTTCCACTAATAAACCAGAAACTGGACAGATCTGCCTTTCTGGAATTAAGTTTCTTGAATGTTGCTTTTAACGCAAACATACAAAACGGTGATTGTTTACAAAGCTGACACAACGGTGCTAGATTTTATTTTTAACTTCGTGCCTCTTTTTCAAACAGTAACCCATCACCTTAATTTCCGGTGCATTAATTCTTTTGCACAGCAAAGTTTGTGAAGCATTTTTGTTATTTTACCAACCGCTTGTCGTGCGCAATGAAACCTGGCAGCACATCAGGTCTCACATGGCTGAAGCTGATCTACATCACATTACTCTCAGGTAAGACAAATGTTTTTAACTGAAGCTACTGTTTTTAAAGGCTGAGTACAATGTAGATTTATGGTCTTTGTGAGAACACACACTACTGGTTAACACCGATTTGGAATCATTTCAGATGTTTAGGGACTGTTGTCAAACTTGCTCATTAACATTATTTATTGTTAGAAACACTCTGGTAGGGAGGTGAGCGAGTAAAAAATGACAGACCCAGGTAGCTGACTTCGGTGCAAGAAGTGCTCTATTTATTTACAGTGACGATATGTGTACAACCAGGTGAAGGAATATGGAGCAGAACTGGGTGTCGAGCTGCAGTCCGGGAAAACATACAGTCAGTGATGAGATGATAAGGAGGAGGCCGGGCTGTGGACACTGGGATTCACTCCTGGACTGGTCGTGGTGGTTGGTTGCTGAGAGACAAAGTCAGAGAAACAATTAATGGGAGACTGTGCATCGACCTGCGTGTTAGAGTGATGTGGAGTTGAGGAGGTCCGTGGTCCGAGGGAGCAATAGCGACTGGGAAGATAAGACACGGGGCACAAGGCAGGAACGGAGCTTTGAAGAAAAGCGTGAGCAAAATATATATATATGTAAGACAAATAATAGGTAGGCATAGAAACGGGCTAGAGTCTAGAAAGAACTGGCAGGGAAGTAGACAATGTGCACGGTATAAATAGGAAGAAACTAATCAGGTGCAGCTGGTGGTGATTCAGGGGATGTGAAGCAGGTGTGTCAGATAAAGAAATCAGGGGTAAGGGAGCTAAAATAGAGGGAGAGAAGTGAGAGAGGCAGGTGCAGCCGGA